AGCGAAGTGTGTCGTGAAATGTGCGAGCTTAGCGTAGTCTTGGGGCCCGTAACAGCGTAGTCTTGGGGCCCGTAACAAAATGGCAGCCGTGGATGTAAAAAATTAACGCGAAACCCATCCGTAACATTGAATTCCGCCATTCAAAGATATGGAACGCAAGCTAGGCATGAACGGCCCCAGGTTGAAAAAAGTGTTTCCGTGTTTCGCGTTTTTTGTTTACATTTTCGCGGGCAGCTGCCGATCTTGCCATACCTGGAACTCGCGGCCTTTGAATGGCGAAATGCAATGTTATGAATAATTTTCGCGTTTATTGTTTACATCCACGGCCTTCCGGCAAAACTAACTTAGCATCCCTTATGCGCTACTTACGTGATATTGAATAAACGAATAGTAGCCAGCGTGGCCCCCGAACGTCGATGTCTTGCAACCCACGCGGTGCAATCTAGGCGGTGCAACGTATGCTATGCAACCTAGGTAGCGCAAGCCACGCGGTGCAGTTCAAGCAACGCACAGCGACGCCAAGCAACGCTAAGCAATGCAAAGCAGCGCAAACCAAAGCACAAAATGGCCTAGAGCTGGCCCCGGGCACCCAAGATGTGGCCTGGGAGTTGTGTTCTGGGAACACGAAGAGCACAAAGTGGCCTACAGTTGGCTCCGGGCACTCACGATGTGGCCTGGGAATGGTGTTCTGGCAAGATGCATCGTGATTCCGGGCAAGAGTTTCACACTTTCCAACGTTATGATTTGTTGCGTCCTAGCCTGGCTAGGACGAAACGAACATGAAAGCCACTAAGTGCGATAGGGTTACAACTTTCCAACGTTACGAATGCCTTTTTGGAGCTCTGGTGCAAGATTTCCTCACAAAGCGACGCCGTTCGTAACGTTGAAGCTTCTTGAATAAAGAATAATTGAATATTCTTATTTAAGCGTTTTGAGCGTTACGAAGAGCGTCGTATTTCATCTTTTTGAACGTTACGAACGGCGTCGTTTCTGTGAGGAAGTCTTGCGCCAGAGTTCCAAAAAGGCATTCGTAACGTTGGAAAGTTGCAACCCTATCGCACATCGTCGCTTTCATGTTCGTTTCGTCCTAGCCAGGCTAAGACACAACAAATCATAACGTTGGAAAGTGTGAAATTCTTGCCCGGAATCACGATGCATCTTGCCAGAACACCACTCCCAGGCCACATCTTGAGTGCCCGGAGCCAACTGTAGGCCACTTTGTACTCTTCGCGTTCCCAGAACACCAGTCCCAGGCCACATCTTGGGTGCCCGGAGCCAACTCTAAGCCATTTTGTGCTTTGCTTTGCGTTGCTTTGCATTGCTGAAGCCCCTGATGAGACCTGCGACACCTGTCGGTCCTGTGGGACCTGCGAGACCTGCGAAACTTGTGGGACCTGTGAGACCTACGACACCCGAGGAGCTTGCAACACTTGTGGGATCTGGGGGACCCCTGTGGCCTGTGGGACCCGTGGGACCTGCAAGACCTGTGGGACCGGTGGGACCCGCAACACATGTGGGACCTGCGGAACCAGTGGGACTTGTCGGACCTGCGACACCCGTGGGACCTGGGGGTCGTCTGTGGTCCGTGGAACCCTGTGGACGCCTGAGAGCCAGCCGAAGCAACGCGTGAATGCGGCAAGCATTTGAGGGTGGCAGAAGCGAAGTGTGTCGGGAAATGTGCGAGCTTAGCGTAGTCTTGGGGCCCGTAACAGCGTAGTCTTGGGGCCCGTAACAAAATGGCAGCCGTGGATGTAAAAAATTAACGCGAAACCCATCCGTAACATTGAATTCCGCCATTCAAAGATATGGAACGCAAGCTAGGCATGAACGGCCCCAGGTTGAAAAAATTGTTTCCGTGTTTCGCGTTTATTGTTTACATTTTCGCGGGCAGCTGCCGATCTTGCCATACCTGGAACTCGCGGCCTTTGAATGGCGAAATGCAATGTTATGAATAATTTTCGCGTTTATTGTTTACATCCACGGTAGTAGTAGTAGTAGTAGTAGTAGTACTAGTAGTAGTAGTAGTAGTAGTAGTAGTAGTAGTAGTAGTAGTAGTAGTAGTAGTAGTAGTAGTAGTAGTTTTTGTAGTAGTAGTTTTTGTAGTGTTTGTAAGTATGTAGTTCAAGCTAGCCAGCTCGAGCGAGTCAAGCATGGCATGCCCAGTCCCACCCGCCCTCCCACAACATAAGAAGCAAAGCTGGCACAACTGGGGGCCGAAGTCACACCGGCCAGCGGGTTTGGTACAGCTGATGCGGCCGCGATGGCGGTTGCCGACGGGAACTGGCGAGCGCATGTTGAATGACGCGCACGCATTGCCAGACGAGTCGAGAATGGCCCGGTACACCGCAGGAAGCTAGCTGAAGTGGTGCAGGAGGAGCGACATGCGCGACAGGAAACCCAAGGGGGCGAGGGACCAGGAGGCCCATTAGCGACGTGGACGACAGGACGTCCATGCGACGGTGCCAATGACGGCGACGACTCTAGAAGGATTTGAACATGCGCTCGCGGCGACGCGCGCGCATGTCGCCCGCGTGGTATTTTTTGCACAGGATTCGCGGCCTGGGTGCATGACAGAGCATCGCGAGTGCACCGCGCGATGACGTGAAATCGCTGGATTTGACCGAGATTCAAGATGAGCCCGGGCAGGAAATTTGTAGAATTTTTTGTGAAAAAAAGCATTGGGTTTTTGATGTTTTTATGTTGAAATGCTTGCAAACACACGGTGTTCGGTAGGATTATGACATGAACGCGCGCGTGTGCTCTTTGTGGTATTTTTTGCAATGGATTATCGCCGTGGACGACAGGACGTCCATGTCGAGAGGAAAAAATAAGAAAAAGGTTGATTTTGTATTGTTTTTTACAGGTTAGGATGGGACCACCCGGATGGGGCCCCTATCTGCCCGCCTGAGGGGGGAGTAGGAGTATATTCTAATAAGGAATAAGGATATGTAGTATGTAGTATGTAGTATGTAGTATGTAGTATGTAGTATGTAGTTAGTAGTAGTAGTAGTAGTAGTAGTAGTAGTAGTAGTAGTAGTCGTAGTCGTAGTACTAGTAGTAGTAGTAGTAGTAGTAGTAGTAGTAGTAGTAATAGTAGTAGTAGTATGAAGTAGAAGTAGTAGTCGTAGTAGTCGTCGTAGTAGTAGTAGTAGTAGTAGTAATCGTAGTAGAAATAGTAGTGGTGGTAGTAGTAGTAGTAGTAGGAGTAGTAGTGGTAATAGCAGTCATAGTAGTAGTAGTAGTAGTAGTAGGTGAAGTAGAGAAAGCCCGGAGTAGTAGTGGTGGAATAGCAGTGGAATAGCAGTAGTAGTATTAGTAGTAGTAGTCATAGTAGTAGTAGTAGTAATAGTCGTAGTAGTAGTAGTCGTAGTAGTAGTAGCAGTAATCGTGGTAGTAGTAGTGGTATTGATAGTAGTAGTAGTAGTAGTAGTAGTAGTAGTAGTAGCCGCCGCAGTAGTAGTAGTAGTAGTAGTAGTAGTCGTCGTGGTAGTAGTAGTAGTAGTAGTAGTAGTAGTAGCAGTAGTAGTAGTAGGAGTAGTAGGAGTCGTAGACGTAGTAGTAGTAGTAGTAGTAGTAGTAGTAGTAATAAAAGAGAAAGTAGTAGTAGTAGTAGTAGTAGTAGTAGTAGTAGCAGTAATGATACAGTAGCAGCAATCGTGGTAGTCGTAGTATTTGCAGTGGTAGTGGTAGTATTCGTAGTAGTTGTAGTCGTAGCAGCAGTAGCAGTAGCAGTAGTAGTAGTCGCCGTCGTAGTAGTAGTAGTAGTAGTCGTAGTAGTAGTCGTAGTTGTTGTTGCTGTTGTAGTAGTAACAGTAGTAGTAGTAGTAGTAGTAGTAGTAGTAGTAGTAGTAGTGGTAGTAAAGTAATAGTAGTAGTCGTCGTCGTCTGCCGTAGTAGTAGTAGTGGTAGTACCAGTTGTACTGGTACTAGTAGTCGTAGTAGTAGTCGTACTAGTAATAGTAGTATCAATAGTAGTAGTAGTAGAGATAGTAGTAGTCGTAGTCGTAATCGTAGTCGTAGTACTTGTGATAGTCGTAATACTAGTAGTAAGAGTGGTAGAAGAAGGAGAAAATAGTAGTAGTAGTAGTAATAGTCGAACTAGTAGGAGTAGTAGTGCTACTAATCGTAGTAGTCGCAGTTGTAGCAGTAGTGGCAGTAGTAGTAGTAGTAGTCGTAGTAGTAGTAGTAGTAGTAGTAGTCGTAGTAGTCGTAGTAGTAGTAGTAGTAGTAGTCGTCGTCGTAGTAGTACTAGTAGTAGTGATAGTACTAGTCGTAGTAGGAGTAGTGGTCGTAGTAGTAGTAGTAGCAGTAGTAGTAGTAGTCGTAGTAGTAGTAGTAGTAATAGTAGTAGTAGTAGTAGTAGTAATAGTAATAGTAGTAGTGGTAGTGGTAGTGGTAGTAGTAGTAGTAGTAGTAGTAGTAGTAGTAGTAGTAGTAGTAAGAGTAGTAGTAAGAGTAGTAGTAGTAGTAGTAGTAGCAGTAGTAGTAGTAGTAGTAGTAGAAGTAGTAGTCGTAGAAGTAGAAGTAGTCGTAGTAAGGTAGCAGTAGTAGTAGTGGTAGTAAGTAATAGTACTAGTAATCGTAATCGTAGCCGTAGTTAGTAAGTGTAGTAGTAGTAGAGTAGTAGTAGTAGTAGTAGTAGTAGTAGTAGTAGTAGTAGTAGTAGTAGTAGTAGTAACAGCAGTAGTAGCAGTAGTAGTAGTAGTAGTAGTAGAGGTAGTAGTAGTAGTAGCAGTAGTCGTAGTCGTAGTCGTAGTCGTAGTCGTAGTCGTAGGAGTAGTAGTACTAGTAGTAGTAGTAGTAGTAGTAGTAGTAGTAGTAGTAGTAGTAGTAGTAGTAGTAGTAGTAGTAGTAGTAAGAGTAGTAGTAGTAGTAGTAGGAGTAGTAGTAGTAGTAGTAGGAGTAGTAGGAGTAGTAGGAGGAGGAAGAGGATGTGGATGATGAGGAGGAGGATGGGCAGGGTTTGCAGAGTCGCGAGGTGTTGAAGGAAACGAGGCGGCCTGTCGTGCAGAGTGCTCTTGGTCAGGTGGCCGACCTGTATGGCGTAGTTGAGCAACCAGGCCTGTGTGCGGCGCCCCCCCTCGGGCGCCCTAGATCTTCGGCACCGCCGTTGTCGTCGGAGAAGGACCCAAATCTCCGACGGCATCTTTTTGTGAATCCTGGGGTTGTTCCGTAATTTCGGCCTCTAGGGTCACTTCTCCGTGAAGGGGTCGCGGATGAAAACAACAAAAACCATATGGCCGGTTGTCCGGGAAAATAAAGTCTTCGGAGACTTTCGGCGGATTCCAATTCGTATCGGAGCTCTCTGGTATTCTTCTGAGGTTCTCCAGGGGCAGATCGTGCCCTTCCGCCGCCCAAGGCAGCGGACATAAGCCATGCCCATCATCCTCTTCCCCTGACATACATCTTCGCGAAACAAATCGTGACGGTGGCCGATCGTTCCGAAGCTTTCGGCTTCTGGGGGAGCCGCTTCGGGCCCCAGGACAGTGACCACCAAGAGAACACAGCCTGGTGCAAACAGAATCTCCCGGGGATGGGATCGAGAGGTCCAGGGGCCACGCGGCGAGCAAGTCACGACGTCGGAGGTCTGGGCATGCCTCTGCCCCTCAGCCCTTCCCTCCTGGACCCTCTTGGGGCCTGGTGGAACAGCTCTGACGCGTTCTCGACGCACTGCTTGACCTGGCTTGCGGCAGACGCTCGGATCAGCAGCATTTCTGGTGATATCGACATGCGATAACATGCCTCTCTGGTCAGGAGGACGCCCACTATCAGTGTGCACGCCCTGGATCGGCGTATGCGCCCTCCTGTTTTGGACAGGACAGGTCTTACTTCGATATTGGGCCCAGGGTCAGCCTGGCCAGGATCATCGTCGGCGTAGAAGAGGCACATACACGTCGGTGGTAAGAAATGAAACATAAATGAAATGCGAAGGCGGATAGAGTAGGTTGGGTTCAGGTCCTCCAAGAACATAGCAAGACACAGCGAACGCAGGTCGGTTCTTGAAGAAGTAGGAAGGCGCTTGAAGTAAATTCGAGTATGGGAATCCAGAAATGCATAATTCCAACAACCAACGCGAATGTTAGGTAAGAAATCCGCCGGCCCCCTTGTGGGGCCACCAGGCTGCAGGATCAGGGTTTGTTGTTCCCTGCGCCAGTTTCAGTTTCCAGTTTCCACTGTTGTAGTTCTGCTTCTTGTTGCTTACTGTTCCTTGTTGTAGACCGCGCGAGGGGGGGGGGGCGGCGAAAACATTTCTGGTTAGCACCTCCCGGGAGTGGTCTCAGAATTTATGGGGGGGTCGAAATTTCCACCCCTCACGCAGATCGGCGGGGTCAGGGTCCAAAGACACATGGGATTTGCCACATTTCTAAAATCCCACCAGCCCTCTGGGCGTCGGTGGTTTAGGGCGTTTCCTCTTCCACCCCTCCCTCTTCCCCTTCGTGGAGGGGTTTACCCCTCCCCCTACCCCCTCCCCGTGGACCTGGACGGGAGGGGCGGGGAGGTGTCAGGGCGTCCAAAACGGCCTCGGCGAGGAAGCCAAAATCATTGAATTTACTACGGTTTTGGCCCCATTTTGGCCTCCTGATAGTGCCCCCCACCTCCTGTGATCGATCTTCTCCAAGATGGCCCGAAGAAGCGCCCAGGAGGCCCCAAGAGTGCCCCAAGATGGCCCCAAGAGGCCCCCAATAGGCCTCCAGGAGGCCCCCAAGAGGATCCCAAGCGGCCAAAAGTGGCCCCCCCGAGGCACCCAAGACGCCGAAAAGCCCCTCAGGACGGCCCTCTACTCGCCTGGGCGTCGTTTCTGGATGGGCTGGTGGGGATACGCGAAGCGTCTAGAATTCGGTGGCACGCAGATCGCCGGGATCAGGGTCGAAAAACACCAAGTCTTTTGTCACATTTCTGAAATTCGGCGGCACCCCTCAAGCAGATCGGCGGGGTCAGAGTCCAAAAACCAATCGGATTTACAACATTTCTTGAAATTCGGTGGCCACCCTCACGCAGATCGCCGGCGTCAGGGTCGGAAAAACAGTGGGATTTACCATATTTTGAACTTTGGCGGCGCCCCTCACGCATATCGGCGGGGTCAGGGTCGAAAAACCAATGAGATTTGCAACTGTTCTGAAATTCGGCGGCACTCCTCACGCAGATCGCCGGGGTCAGGGTCGAAAAACAGATGGGATTTGACACACGTCTTGAAATTCGGTGGCCTCCCTCACGCAGATCGGCGGGGTCAGGTTTCAAAAACAAAAGGTCTTTGCCACATGTTCGAAATTCGGTGGCGCTCCTCATGCAGATCGGCGGGGTCAGGGTAGAAAAACACCAAGTCTTTTGTCACAGTCTTGAAATTCGGCGGCACCCCTCAAGCAGATCGGCGGGGTCAAAATCCAAAAACCAATCGGATTTACAACATTTCTTGAAATTCGGTTGCCACCCTCACGCAGATCGCCGGCGTCAGGGTCGGAAAACCAGTGGGATTTGCCATATTTTGAACTTTGGCGGCACCCCTCACGCAGATCGGCGGGGTCAGGGTCGAAAAACCAATGAGATTTGCAACTGTTCTAAAATTCGGCGGCACTCCTCACGCAGATCGCCGGGGTCAGGGTCGAAAAACAGATGGGATTTGACACACGTCTTGAAATTCGGTGGCCTCCCTCACGCAGATCGGCGGGGTCAGGTTTCAAAAACAAAAGGTCTTTGCCACATGTTCGAAATTCGGTGGCGCTCCTCATGCAGATCGGCGGGGTCAGGGTAGAAAAAACACATGGGATTTGCCACATGTCTTGAAATTCGGTGGCACCCCTCGCGCAGATCGGTGGGATCAGGGTCACAAAAACATAAGGGATTTGCAACATTTCAATACTTCGTGTGGAGAAGCTTGTTGCACAGCATACGCGAGCAAGCTCGAAATGCAACACCGAATTCAACAATATCATCAGATTCTCAACTTGTCTTGCTGATTACTCATCGTCTTCGCGTGAGATCCCGACGCTGCTTCACGGCGGCGCCAAGGCTTCATGATATCGCTCTTGCATTGCTCATTATCCGAGAGAGGGGGCCGGCGGCAGGGGGCGAAGCCCTTACGGATTCGGTTGTAAGGAGTATTGTGTACGTTCTTCATCGATCTGCGTGTCCCCCGAGGCGCCCCAGAGCTTCCAGGGCCTGGGGCCGTCGGGAGTAAGAGACTTCCATGAGGCACCTGCAATCGCGTCCATATTGGCAACGTGCGCAATCTGACCACTCGATGGCTGCAAGCATTGCCCTAGGGAAGAGAAGGTCTTTCTGTGGCCCCAGAATTACCTGGCAACGCGCAATCAGCTGGGCAACCACTCGCTGCAAGCGGGGCCCCGTCACCTGCACTTCCCCCCACTTGGCGAGCGCTTTCGAGCGAGCGCGCTACAATTCAGCTACCAGCATTTTGCCCGTGCGCTTGCGCCCTTCCTCTGAACACTGCGGCAGACGAATGACTCTTGCGCGCGCGGGCAGGGCGCGGGCCTGCTGCAAGTGGCCCCAGCGACCGAGGCAGCGCAGATCGCCGCGCGCAAGAAAGCCACGCGCACGGGCACCAATCTCACCGAGACAGGCTTTAAAAAGACCTGCGGCGCAGCCCGTGCCGCTCGAGGTCGGCGACGCGCCGAGACCGGCGACGCGCCGCCCTCCTCTGCATCGCTTGCCGCGCTGCCGTCGGCGCCGTCGCCCACTGGGGCCGCAACCCGTTCACTTCCGCGCTTCTCCCAGCTCCCGCTCCGGGCAGCGGCGCGCGAGCTTGCCGCCCCGCGCCCGCAGTGCCCTGCGGGCGCTTCCCGGGCGACGGGGGGCGCCCGTCGCCGCCGAGCGCCGCCCGCCCGCGCAGGCGCTGCCGGAGCCTGCGCTGCGGCCGTCGGCGCAGTCCCTCTGGTCCCTTTTGGGGGTGCCCTCTGGCGCCGCAGCCCTGGCCATCTCGGCGTTGCGCTTCTCGACCGTGTGTTTCGCATCCTCCGAGATACTACTGCGGTCCGTACAATGCGCTGCAGGGTCCGTTTCGCCGCTGTCCTGGCGCCGCCGCGCTCTTCCGCCGCGCGGATGATGTTGCTCGCGCGCGCGCGCGAAGACAATCTGACGTGCAGCGCACCCTGGCGAGGATCACCTTGACCTCCCGCTCGCGGGGGCGGCGCCTTGCGCAATCTATGCTGTCGGCCGAAGCGCAGGGCCGCCTTGCGGCCGCAGTCTGCTTCGCTCTGCCCTCGCGGGGCCCGGCGCCCGCCGGCCGCGGCGCCCGCCGCTGGCGCGCGGCCCCGTTGCGGGCGGTGCTCGCGGAAGTCCTCGCCCACGGTGGAGCCGACCCGCTGCCGACCTGCGTCGTTGGCGAAGGCCTCCTCCGAAGGCAGGGCGCCTTTCGCGAAGTCCTGCATGCCTGTCTCCGCTGCCCTGTCCTGCAGCTCGAAGCTGCAGCCCTGCGGTCTCCTTTGGTAGCGCCTGGCTCTGCAGTTCAGCGAACTGCTTGACCGCCTCGGCCATGCCAACCAGCTTCCACAACGTCCATGAATGTTATCCTCTGACGAGTACGGGGCGCCGCGCGCCTTGCCAGGCGTTCTAATCGTGCCCCGCATGCGCGGGCCCACGAAATCAAGCGGCGCAGCGCCGCCAATAGTTTTGACCAGCAGGCGGGCGACAACCGCGTGGTAGGACAGGTCGTGCCTACCCAACGCATTCGGGTCAACGCTGAGCACGAAGTCGACCCATTCACCCGTTGACGAAATGCCTGCGCCCCCAGTGCCCCCAGTGGAACTGTGGCGAGAATCTCGTGGATCTCCACGCTCTTGAAAGACATTGCGGCAAGACTGCGTGCCAGTAGACAGCTTCGGACAGCGCGCCAGCGAAAGCGCATTTGACCCACAGTGGCCGCGGATTGCAGAATGCGAATGCAGACTGAGACTGCCTGGATCAACCAATCACAACTCCTATGCTGGACAGGAAGCGCGGGACCGGCCAAGAGCATCGTGCGAAGCAGAGACCTCCTCAAGAGGTCCGCGATGCACGTTGCTACCTATCTGGGAAAACCAACCTGAACTTCCTCGAAAGTCCTGCGAGCAGGCTGGGAAGAGAGAGAAGCGAGGGTTTCCGATGGTAAGAGTGGGAATCCAGCCCACTTGAGGCTCACGCTGCCTTTCTGGACTGTCGGCGCAATCCCAAACGCAAACTGCTCGCCGACGCGCGCGGCTGTCCCACTTTAGGCGCTCCCGGCTCGGGCTGCGCGTCTGAGCGCGATGCGGCCCTGCGCGGGCCAAACTCCAGCGCCCCAGCGGTGCAGATTGCGCGTCCCTGCGTGAGGCGTCTCTGCGCCTTCGCGGACGTAGAATGCGCATATGAACGCGATGCGGCCCAAGCCGGGCCGACATTGCCCTTCCGGGCGTTCTTGCCGCCCCCGACTGGCGACCGATCTGCTCGCCCAGTCGCCCTGGCGCCCCTGTGCATGCACATTGGCAATGCGCGTCCACGTTGCAATGTGCGCAATGTGACGTTGCGCACCTGAGCGCAATGTGGCCCGACACTGGCAGATTTTCAGATTTCCAATCTCGGCGTGTCCATCTGAGCGCGATTTGGCCAGATGCAAGCCCAATCTGCCTACCCAAGCGCCCGGCGCCAACGCGGGCGCAGAATGCGCATCTGAATGCGTTTCGGCCCGGAACGGGCAGATTACCGCTCCAGGCATTCCAAGCGCCCCTGCTGGCGCAAATCGCGCGACTGAATTCAAAATGGCCCGTTCCAAACTCAATATGCTTTTCCGCCCTGGCGCAAATGCAGGCGCAGAGTGCGCATCTGAGCGCAATTTGGCCCGAAACGGGCAGATTGCGACTCCAAGTATTCCTGGCGCCCCCGCCGGCGGAAAATGCGCGCGATTTGCCCGACCCAGGCACGATCTGGTTGTCTAGACGCCCCCGCGCCCCTGCAGACGCAGAGTGCGCATCTGAGCGCGATTCGGCTCTAACCGGGCGTTTTTGGCGCCCTCACCAGCGCGCAATGCTCATCTGAGCGCGACTCGGCCCGATGAGGGCCCGATCTGCTCACCCAGACGTCCCAGCGCCCCTGCGGACGCACATTTCGCACCTGAGCTCAATTTGGCCAGCGAAATTGGCAGCTTTGCAGATTTCCATTCCTGGCGTTCCTGGCGCCTCTGCGAACGAAAATTCTTACCGCGATTTGGCCCGATGCAGGCCCAATCTGCCTGTCCAGCATTGCGGCGCAGCTCCTTCCAGGGAGCCTTTTCTGCCGGAGACGCTTTTCAGGGAGCGTGGCTTGCCAGCGCTCCCTTTCAGGGGAGCTGGCGCGCCAGAGCTTCCCATCAGAGGAGTTGGCGGCGCCGCTCTTATCAAGAAACATTCAGGCGCAGCTCCTTTCATGAAGCATGCTCCTGTCAGGGATCACGGCGTGCTGTGCCAGAGTTCCCTACCAGGGAGGTTGGCGGCAGAGGTCCTCATTAGGGGACTCGGCATACAAATCGTGCGCGGGGTGTCCTTGCAGGGGAGAGCGAACTCAGACTGAGTGGGCCAACTCCTACCCGGCAGTAGCCAGGCCGCCGCTCCGAGGGGCAACACTAGGCACGGAGCACCTCTAAGAATATTTCCGCCGCTTCCAACAAACTTCTGCCGAACCCGCCAGGGAAGCGACCTCCCGCGACGCAGACAGAGGCATGTAAGCAACGAGGATACGAGGTGAGCACAATGGGCCCAACGCATGTTGATTTCCTGCTGCAAAAGCAATTTGGAATCCATGAAACGCGCCACCACCGACACGGCGGTTCCCCGGGGAGCCCTGGCCGACGCGTTGCCGCCAAAACTGGCGGCTCGGTCCAGGGCGCAGGATTACCGATTCTGGGGCCGTGGAAAAATAAGCCCGAGTGGGTAGAGGCTCACAACTGGCAGCTCGGTCCAAGGTGTCCGATCCTGAGACCGTGGATACATGACTGCAAGGGGGTTGAAGCTGGTCTGCACAATTGCTCACACGCGGGTTCGAGTATATGGGCTCGCTGAGGTACCCCCCCGAGTCGGTCTGCAACGCTGGACGCCTGGAGTGCCCCCCTCCACCACCTGCGCGGGCGTGCCCGTGGCCAGGGCTGGTACAGCGGCTGCGCATCCTCCTGCTCCTCCCAGGCTCCTCCCATCCGTCCTCTTCCTCCCCCTTCCTTGGCCATCGTCGATGGTCCTCCTCATCCTCCTCCTCCTCCTCCTCCTCCTCGCCTCCGCCACGTCCACCGCCTCCTCCTCCCTCCTCCTCCTCGTCCTCCTCCTCCTCCTCCTCCTCCTCCTCCTCCTACTCCCCCTCCTCCTCCCCCTCCGTTTCCACCATCCCCTGCATATATCCTATACGACCACCATGCGGGTGATAAGGAAGTTGGGGGGGGAGGGGGCCAGGAATGGGCAACAGTGGTGATTGTTGTTCTGACGATGCCAGTGGAGATCGTTGCGGTGCCGCTCGCTCTTGATAGCCTTGGTGTCGAGTGGTTTACGTCACCTTTCGCTCTTGGGCGCCTTGGTACCATTCCCCACCCTTCATTATTGAGAGCCTTGGTGTGAAGAGCCTTGGTATTAAGAGCCTCAATATCGATGTCACTGTTGATCTGACAATCGATCTCAGTATCGATTATCTATCGATCTCGATCTCACTATTGTTCCCACTATCGGTCTCATCGATCTAACTATCGATATCATTATCGATATCACTATCGATCTCAGCACATGAAACCACGGGACACCGACGGGACACCGATGGGACACCGACGGGACACAATCGATCTCACTGTCGATCTCACTGTCCCACTATCGATCCCACTATCGATCTCGCTATCGATCTCACTATCGATCTCGCTTTCGATCTCACTATTCATCTCACTGTCGATTAGACTATCGATCTCGCTATCGATCCCACTCGATCGATCTCACTATCGATCTCACTATCGATCTCACTATCGATATCACGATTGATCTCACTATAGATCTCTATCGATCTCTCACGCTAGATCATACTATCGATCTCACTATCGGTCTCATTATCGATCTCACTATCGATCTCACTACCGATCTCACTGTCGATTTCACCACGGGACACCACGGGACAACGACGGGACATCGGCGGGACACCAGCGGGACACCAGCGGGACACCGGCAATACACCGCGCGCCACCGGTTGCCGGGCGGAGAACCTTTTGGTCCGGCCGCGGCCCAGCCACGACGGGACACTGGCGGGACAGCAGCGGGACAGCAGCGGGACACCAGCGGGACACCGGCGGGACACTGCGCGCGCCACTGGTTGCCGGGCGGAGAACCTTTTGGTCCAGCCGCGGCCCAGCCACAGGAGAATTTCCTCTCCCCCGCCCATACAGCTTCGTCTCGCCCGCACGCACGGCACGAACACGAAACCGACATCGATTTCCGAGTAGGGGGGCTCTCCGTTCCACTTCGATCTCAACCCCGAACCTCCGACCCCTCCTCCTGTTGCTCCTCCTCGGCCCCATCCCCCTGACTCCTCCTCCACCTCCTGAATGTTCTCCTTGCTGCTCCTCTCCCCCCAGCTCCGCGGCTGGGCGACGGTGAGGCAGAAACAAATCTTCTTGCAGCAGAACTCCAGCAGGAAACAACCGCAAGCATAGTACCCCACCTTCATAGCGCATTCGGCGCGCGTCAGCGCCTGTCGGCGGTGAGATGTAGCAACAGGAGGGGGGGAAGGAAGGAAGACGAAAGCGAGCGCGTGAGCGACCACCAGCACGGACAGACGTCCGTTTCTAGCCAATGCCAAGTGGAGGAGGCCGTGGCCTCTGGGATGTGCTGTGTGCCGTGCTGCGGGATACATCCAACAAGTTGCGAAAGACGGAAGGGTGGTGGACGAGAGAGGGGTCCTGTCCTATCCTCGTCGGAGGGCTCGTCGTCGTCGGCCGCAGGAAGAGCGGCAGGCGAAGGAAAGCGAGAGAGGGCGGGGGGGGGGGAGAAAGCGGGGGGAGGAGGAAGAGAGGGCGGAGGACGAGGAGGGGTGCCAGGGTGAAAAGGGGGGGCGGGGGGGCGGGGGACGACGAGGAGCGGGGGCGGAGGATGTGGAGATGGAGGGGACTTCCCCCAAAGTGACGAGCGCGACGACTCCGCCTTACATTGCGCACCGCCGCGCGCGCGTGCGCCGGCGAGCACCCCGGGCCGCCGCTGGTGCCCACGCGGGCGCGTGGCGGCGACCCGCACGCCCGGCCGCCTCCAGGGGGATGTGCCCCGGGGTGCTCGCCAGGGGTGTGCCGAGAAGCGGGCGGCGGCGTCCACCTTCCGAGGCTCGGAGCTCGCCGGTGGCTCGGAGGTCCACTCCCCGTGCAGTGTTCGCCCTCGCGCGTGCGTGTTCTTCGCAAGACTGCCCCAAAGGCTCTTCGAGGGTCCAGGGATGCACACGCCCGAGCGATGCCAAAGGGATGGCGCAGGCCGGCGCCCCTGCGGCTGGAGAAACACCTAAGCGACAAGAAGAAACGGGTTTTGCGCGAGATGGCATAGCCATAGCGACCATACGCGGTGGCTTTCGCGGGCCGGCAACGCGGCACGCCATATTGGAAAGGAGGGTGCTCACGCGCAAGCTTACGCGGGCAACTCACGCGCAAATGTCGGTGAAGACGACCCCGTTACCGGGAACACATGTTCATATGAGCCAAGATCTGGCGGATATCTGGAGGAGTAGCAGTCGGAATCTCAAGGGGAAAGCGGAGGAGGATCTTACGGACGATCTGCAAGAAGATCTGGAGAGAAGAAACAACGGAATATCTGAAGGAAGATCTGGAGACATCAATCGAGTAATACATATATATATATATGTATATATGTAATATATTAATTTGGAAGAATAAAGAATATAGTCGGATGGAGATCTGGAAGAATAGCTGGACGACGATCTGGACAATAATCGCGAGGGGTACCTGGGACGGATCTGGAGGAACAACTGGAAAATCATCTGGCATTATGCGCATCAGAGGTGAGAGCTGGGCCAGCTCCTGCGAGTTCGCACTTGGATGGTCAAGAAGTTTTGAGAACCAGCTCGGCAGATGGAATTTCTCAACAAAGCGGAGGAAGGTGCGATACATTCCTGCCGCTGTTGCGTGAACTCTAGTTTCTGTCATCGCGGGAAACGCTCATCTTGAAGCGGCTCCGCTGCGGGGTGGGGGGTGTGTGGGGGGGGGGGGGGCAGGGGCAGTCTTTGGAGTTTGTCCTCTTCGTGAGTCAGCCCCCTGTAGTGTCACACCGTCGCTTCTGGCACGGCTGCGTGGCACCAATGATGTAAAGGGCGAACCCTCCTCTTTTAACTCCAAGGCCACCCCCCCGCCTCTTCGCCCTCCAGAGCCGCCCCGCCGTCGGGGGACCAATCTCCCAAGTGGACGAGGAAGAACTGAACACAAGCATGGCCAAGGCTGAGTGATGAGAATGCGTCACCGCGCCGAGGCGACGCGATACTGTTTATAATCGAAACTACATCACCTACCCTCTTCCGTTGCTCGCAATTGGTGGCCTCGCGAGATGACAGCGTGTGCACACCCTTCAAATCTTGGTCGATGTTGTTGAGCTGCAAATTCGAGCAGACCATGAGGTGTCGCACCACCTGCGCTGAGGAAGCTACTTAACGAGGAGTGAGGATGAGCGCTAGAGGGGGGCATGCCATGCCAGCAAGATCGCACATCTGACACTGGTGCACAAAATGGCGACTGACACTCATGAGCATTTGGGTGCCCATCTGGACTCTCCAAGGGTGCTGGAACTGGCCACAGCTGTGTGCTTGGCAGCACCCATGGGGGCGAGATCTCATTTAGGCACCCTTGCGGATACCCTCCGCTGGACCTCCCACAGGCTCGAGCATTTGGAAACACATCGGGATCCTCCACCCCCGTCCTTGACAATTACACAATATGAATACTCTCCTATCTCCCTCCTCCCCCGTCCTTGACAATTACACACCATGAATACTATTCCCCTCTCCCCTGATGACGTCCAAAAAATGTCCAGCCACCCTCCGCGGACAGTTTTTCACACACTGGATTCCTGGGAATGTTTGTATACAAAAATGCTACTCCCGCTGAACGCTGGCCTCATTTTCGGGCTCCTGCTCGTTCCGAATCGTGCTCCCGCTGCAGGGCTGGCCTCATTGCCGCGCTTCCGCTCGTTCCGGCTCGTGCTCCCGGCTTTGATACGTGTTATTGACAATCAGATTCTTTTTCGGTCCTTCAAAATGTTGCTCCCGCTGCAGCGTTGGTCCCATTTCTGCGCCTCTGGTGGTTGTTCCAAAACGTGCTCCTGCTGCAGCGCGGGCGTACTTCGGTTCTTCCAGATAAGCCCCAAATCTGAAAAAAAAAAAAAAAAAAAAAAACCCAAACAAGGTGTCGATTCGTGGAATTTCTGGGCCGCAAAAGGCTCCCCCCCCGCTTGGGGGCGGCGTCGCTTGGAGGAAGTATCAAGCGGGAGCTCGGTTTCTGCTTTCAGAAGGCGATGTTGCAAGCAGAGCAAGCGGATGCTCCCCGTCAGCCCTGTCTTGTGGGGGGTTTCTCGGGGAGCCCAGGGCGCTAAATATGGAGCCGCGACTCCGGACCGGCCCAAACCATTCGAAGACGCTCCACTTACCCTCCAAGGAACCCGGTGCCCTGCCATGACATGCTGTGCGGTGTTCTGTTTTGCGCTGCTGTGCGATGTCATGCCTTGCGTTGCAAAGCTTTGTGATGTAATGCTTCCCTACGCAATGCTACGCCATGCTATGACATGTTACGCTCTGCCGTGCTCTTCTACGCCATGCAATGCCGTGCTCTACGATGCATCGCGCAACGTCTTGCGATCATTGCCCTGCTCGACATCCGACTGTGCGAATAGAGAGGATATCTACGCCATGGTAAGGGATAGGAGGGAAGGGTGGGACGTCAGTTATAACGCGGTTGAACCTAGCTTGCCCGTTTCCCCTTCTCATTCCTCCTCCGCCTCCTCCTCCTCCTCCTGCCTCAGCACCAAGACCAATCTGTCTCTGGGAGAACGTCCGGAATTAGTTTTCCTCCACGGTCGTTCCTACATGTGCGCGCCCCTGCTCCCCGAATGCAACACGATGGCCACCTCGGAGCTCTGAGGGGGAGCGCGTGGAGAGGAGGAAACAGAGAGAGAGAGAGAGAAAGGAGGAAGGAAGGAGAGGGAGGGAGTGGAGTGGACTGGAATGGACCCCGCTGCGGACTGCAAGTGGCGTGACAACGTGACCACACGAAGGAAGAGCTCTCGAACGCCTCGCCTTCTGCTCGGCTTGGCTGAGGACCTTCGGCTGCTTGCCAGCAGCGATCCGATCGAGATATTCACGTCGTGTTTTGGTCAAACCCCGGGGCCCAAGACAAGGAACACCCAGGGACGTGAACTGCTTCTGGGTAACAGCCCCACAGAGGCTGCAACACCAAACTCCAATGGTTGTATGCACGTTCAGAGTGTGAGGCGCATGGGCAGAATCCCCTCATGACGTGCACTCTAGAACCTACCTTGGGAGACATAATAACCCTGTCAGCGTTATAAAGCTGGGAACACTCTGTGCCCCACCACGCTTTCATGCCGGCCCTGGTGGCCGCAGAGAAACAACGTGAACACCTTCGCTTGCAATCGGAAGCCCTGTGGGGAGAGAGGAGGGCAGAGACGGAAGCAGCACCAGGAGGCGGAGGTGGTGGTCCCTCGTGGGCCGCGCGACCCCTCTTCCCACCTCGCACCCAACCTGGTCCGTGACCTTCATGCTGTCCAAGGAGGCTCACAGAAGGCGGGGCCGCACCACATACGCGCGACGCTCGTGCTGCAAAGCTCTGGCAAAATCGGTTGCGGGGATCTGTGCCTGATCCGCTGCCAAACGCGCTGGCTCGTCCTCTACGGCGCTGCCCACAAGGAGGGCGGAGACGCCGTGGCCTCTAGCCGCGTCTGCTGCGCCAAGGTGGGAATGCGTGAAGAGTGCTGAGATGCTGCGGGCGTTTGCCAGCACGCCGACCTCCTGCCAAAGGTCGGCGTCGTCTCCAGTCGGGTGGGGGTGGACGCCAGTGTACCAGCCCGCAACAACACATGCACAGTCTGAAACGTACACCAGACTTCCGAACGAGCCCCACAAGGCCACCGGGAAGGCCATGAACTCGCCCCTGGCAACCACTTGCCCGGGGCCAACAAGCGGGCCGTGGAGGGGCGCGATGGCCTGGTAGCCGCCCATGTTGACCACCGCCAAGCCCACGCGACGCATTCTGACCGAGGCCGCGAGTCCCCCACCAGAGGCGCCACCGAAGAACCAAAGCGGGTGAGAGTGCGCGCCCTCGCCGGATCCGCCCCTGTCGAGCGAGTTCCGGCCAACGGCGCTCCAGTGCTCCTGGCTGCACGGGTCAGGGATCGCCACCCACACCGATGGCAACAACCCCCTGGGCCAGAATCCTTCATCGCCGTCGGCCTGGGCGCTCACCTGCATCGTGAACGCGTCGGAATCGACGTAGGCCTTGGCGTCCTTGTTCATGTCGCGTAGCCAAGCCTTGTGATCCGGGCTTTCGTCATATAGCTTGCACCTGTCACAAGTAACATTGCCGCAATAAGATGTGAGAAGCATTTCTTCCGCAACTTGGGCCGAGACCCGCCCGTGGCCACGCTGAGCATAATCTCGGCCAAACTCTGATCCGGCGCTATGACGACAGTTGAAATGTGCTTGCCGTGTCTTGAGCCAAATGTCGAAGACGCCTGGCTGGGCACTCGACGGATGAATCGCCCCGGGGAGCGCGCGACTCCAGATCGCCCAGATGTGGGCGCATCGCAAGCCGCGGCCAATCGTCTCCTGCAGTCCGTGAGGTGGCCTCCGAACATGCCTTGCACCTGAAAGCAACAGGTGCCAGCGGCTTGACCACCGGCTTTGTCCAACCGAGATAACGAATGATCCCTTTTATGCAGCGAGCCCAACTGCCAACCAATTCTCTGCGAGATCCGACCACGTTCTGGGAAATGTCACCCACCCACAGTCGGCGGCGCCCCGTGCGAGGGCTGGCGCGAGTGGCCCTTCCCATGGCGAAGTGCGTCGTGATGCGAGCCAAACGCGCGCCACTCCGCAGCCCTTGGACCACCGCGTGCGACGGTTCGAAAGCGTCAGTGGCAGCCCAGTCTTGGAGCAAGGCCCGACATACAATGCGTTGTAAAGTTCCAGATATATGAACAATGAAAGGAATGATAATCGCAATGCTGCCTCGGCCAACAGATGCCGAGGGATGGTGTCGTAGAACTCCTTCACTTCAGTGGGGGCGCGCCCGCAGCGCATCTTCGCGGTGCGAGCCAGCTCCTCGCCGATGGCCCGCGCGTAGGCCTCCGGACGGCGCGAGTTGCCAGCCGCCGCCGCGCCCCGCGCCCCCGCGTGGTCCCGGGGCCAGTCCGCCACGCGTGGATCGCGGATGAGCGATAGCATGGGCCCCAGCACCGAGACCAAACCGATGGCCCTTTCCTTGGTGGCCACCTTCTTGAAAATAAATCGGCCCGCGAGGAGCATGGCCTGCGCTGGCCGCGTCAACTTCTGCTCCGCCGCATTCGATGCGAGCGCAAGCTCACGCGTTGCGGCGGTCGGCAACCGTTGGTTGCCCAGCGGCGTGAACATATCGACCCCCGAACTTGCCTTCGCCTTCAGCTCGCCCGAGGCCCGATGGATGACAGCTGCAGGAATAGCCTGATTTCGCGAAATGCGTCGACCGCGGCGGGCCTGTCGATGGCCTTGGGAGCCCGCAACTTCTGATTTAACTTCTGCTTGCAATACAGAATGCCTCGTGGATGATACGATGCATTGCCGGCGCCCAAGACCTCGCTGGGAGGGGGCGGCTGAGGCTCGAGAGATCTGCGCAGGACTCCCAGCGATGACGGCTCAACGACCCATGCCTTGAAATCCATAGGAGACTCGCGCACTGCTGCTCGCTGCGCTCCATCCTTCATCTTCCCGGCCGTCTCAGCGCGCGACTCGGGGGGAGGGGGTGCCCGCTGACGCGGCTGCTCGAGCATCTGCGCCCGCGGAAGCCGCGGCGGGCAAAGCCCTTCCCTCAGGGCGCCGGGGGCCCCGTCGGGCGCGCTGCCGCTGAGACGCCCGCGTGCCGCGACGTGCGGACCGTTATACTATAGGTTTGGGGCCGTTGCCCCCGGGCGCCAAGCCTTGCGGCGCCGCGGGGGGCTCCGTCCGGCACTATGCCTTCTGACCCCGCAAGGGCAGGTCGCGTGCGCGCGGGGCCTGTCTGATGGGGCTGCGCAGTGAATCGCGGCCCGTGAGTTCGAGAAGCAGCGCCGTCTGAAACCTGCAAGCCATGATATTTGAATCTAGCTTACCCTGCGGTCTCAGCCCACGACGCATGCGTTCCCGATGCGATTGCGCAGCTATCGCGTTCGATCGAAAAGGCCGCGGACGATGATAGCGGAGGGGGGCCCGAGGAGACAGGGGCAGCCCCAGGGGCAAAGCCAACCTGGGCCCTGCACTCGCGCCATCACTGATCAGGGGCATTACAGTTCGTGGTCTCATCAGGGGGCCCCCCTTGGGCTGGACTTCAAACTTCTGTGTGTGTGTGTCCGTGTGTGCGTGTGTGTGTGCGTGTGTGCGTGTGCGTGTGCGCGTGTGCGCGTGTGCGCGTGTGCGCGTGTGCGCGTGTGCGCGTGTGCGCGTGTGCGCGTGTGCGCGTGTGCGCGTGTGCGCGTGTGCGCGTGTGCGCGTGTGCGCGTGTGCGCGTGTGCGCGTGTGCGCGTGTGCGCGTGTGCGCGTGTGCGCGTGTGCGCGTGTGCGCGTGTGCGCGTGTGCGCGTGTGCGCGTGTGCGCGTGTGCGCGTGTGCGCGTGCGCGTGTGCGCGTGTGCGCGTGTGCGCGTGTGCGCGTGTGCGCGTGCGCGTGTGCGCGTGT